CACACACACACCACACACCATACACAACACACACATGCTCACACACATGCTCTCACACATGCACACACACACCACACACACACCATACACAAACACACACACGCTCACACACATGCACACACATACACCATACCATATTCACACCACACCCACACCACAGGTTGAACTCCTAAGTCTGCTCCGCAGGCTAGGGTACTTATGGGAGACCAAAAAGACAATGCTAATGGTCTGGTTATTTATTTTTTTAAAACTAAATTAATTATTTTTTGTTTTATATTGTTTTTTGAGACAGTATCTCACTATGTAGCCTAGACTTGCCTGGAACTCACTATGCAGCCCAAGTTGGCCTTGAGCTGGGGAAAATCCTCCTGCTTTGTCCTTCTACACTCCGGGATTACAGGCGCCTAGGTTTTGAAGACACTATGTGTCTGTATTTAGAACCTGTGCTCAAATTGTGATCTTTGACAGATAGTGGGGCTAGTGTGCTGGTTTGAAAGGATGTCCTTCATAGTCGCAAACATTTAAACACATGGTCCCTAAGTAGTGGAGCTGTTTGGGTAGATTTAGGAGACGTTGCCCTGCTGAGGACTTATGTCACTGGGGGTGGGCTTTGTGGTTTCAAAGTCTCACCCCATTCCTAGGGATTTCTGGCACTTCCTGCTTGTGCTTCAAGATGGGAGGTCTCCCTCTGCTTGATATTCCAGCCAACAGACCTGCTAGCTACCATTCCTTCCTTATGTGACGGTGATGGACTCTTATACCTCTGGAACCATAAGCCCAAACAAAATCTTCTCTAAGTGGCCTTGTTCATAGTGTTTTATTAAAGTAACAGAAAAGTAATTAATAGAGCTAGTTTGGTTAAACACACATGTGTATATACACCCTCACCTCCACCAGTATGGTGTGTTGATGTGGATATACATGTCGTATGTACATGTGGTAGTCAGGGGACAATTTTGTAGAGTCATTTCTCTCCTATTTTTTAGTCAGTTCCAGGGATTGAACTTAGGTTATCAGCCTTGTGCAACGAGAGCTATATACTCTGAGCCACCTCAATAGCCCTGTAACAATTTTATACATTCATCCTTGAACTGGCTAGTTTTATGTCAACTTGACACAAGCTAGAGTCACCAGAGAAGAGGGATCCTCAATTGAGAAAATGCTTTCTTAAGATCAGGCTGTAGGGCATTTTCTTAATTAGTGATCAATGCGGGAGGGCCCAACCCATTGTGGGTGGTGCCATCCCTAGGCTGGTGGTCTTGGGTTCTATAAGAAAAACAGGTTGAGCAAAGCCATGAGGAGCAAGCCAGTAAGCAACACCCTGGCCTCTGCATCGTTCCTGCCTCCAGCTTCTTACCCTGCTTGGATAACTGCTCTTATGCTTTTGATAATGAACAGTTATATGGAAATAAACCTTTTTCTCCCCAAGTTGCTTTGGTCACGGTGTTCATCACAGCAATAGTAACCCTGACTAAGAGAAGCCTCTTCAAGTAAACTCCTTTACTGGTCTCACAAGGCTCCTATTTACCATTGAAGACCATCTCATTAGCTCAGATTGTATTTTAATTGATCAGATTTAAAATAAATATCTCAAGACTTTGAAGAATCCCATTAGACCAAGTACATCTATACTTAGTGGAAGGAAGTTTTGAAGACGTCCATGTTGCCTCCCCTCCCCTGCTTCTTTTCCAGTGAATGAATAACTTTTGTCCCTGCAGCGTGGTGCTCAGTTTGAGGGCTGCTGGAAAGCAATGCCGTTCATTCTGTTTTACATGTGCCTTTGTAGGCTTGCAGAGCTGGGGCCGCCGGGTAGGCCATAGCCACCATTGCTGTGTAGAGCTTATTCTCCCTGGATGAGATCCTACGTGAGGATTGTTGAACGAGAAGGAAATGCCAGCTGGGCTGAACAGTCACAGGACAGCACCACAGTGTTTTCGGAGTGGAGAATAGTATTCCCTGCCCACGGAAGTAAAAGGAAACCAGCTTTGTCGTCGGAGTTCCTGGTGCTTAAGTGTAGAGGGACGTGTACAGAGATCTCGTTAACCAAGTTCTTCTACAGTTGAACAAGTGCATCTTGGATTGTCACGTTTTTAAAGACCTCGCCTCTTACAACCCACAGTGGTTAGCTCAATCAATCAATCAATCAATCAATCAATAAATGAATGAATAAAAAGGCAGAGAGCATTTCCATGTTCCTCCTAGGCAGTTGTCTTCACTAGGACATGAGGGATGTACGGATGTATGGTGCTCCATCGCTTCTGTATGGCTGTGGAACTCATTTAGGGAGGAAAGATTTATTTCAGTTTGTGACTTCAGGAGATTTTAGTCCACTGACTGAGAGAGCACCTTTACCAGCTCAACCTTCTCACTGACACACTTCATTTTTAATCTAGACACACAAACACAGACATTGTGTACAATCACAAGGCGTGATGTAGTGTTTCGATACATGTGCGCATTGTAGAGTATTTCAGTCAGGTTATCTCTTTCTGCCTCCTCAAACGTCTATCATTTTTATGGTTAAAACACTCAAAGCCCTTTCTTCTAGCTTTCTGAGACACGGCACACACGTGTTATCTGGAGTCACTGTTTCATGCAATAGCACGCCACAGCTCCTCACTCCCATTTACTTGGTCACGCTTACCTCCAGACCCTGCCAGTCACTGTTTGGATTTTGAATCTGAGAACTTATTTTAGATTGCACACTTGAGTGAGATCACATGGCCCTTGTCTTTCTGTCTCTGGCTTATTTCTTTTAGGATGGGGGCCCATAGTTCCATGCCTGTTGTAGGAAATGACAGGATTTCCTTCTTTTTGGTCTATGCTGTTGTTTGGTGTATGAACTTCACTTTCTTCATTCATCATTTGAAGGTCACTTGGGCTGTTTCCACTTCTCGGTCCTTGCTGATGGTGCCACGTAGACTCAGGTGTATAGATGTCTCTTCAACACACAGATTTCATGCGCTTTGGGCACACACGCAGGAGTGGGATTCCTGAATCACATGCTAGTGCTTGTTTTAAATTTTTCAGGAACATCCATGCTGTTTACAGCAATGCCAGCAATGAACTCAGTTCCCACGAGCAGCGAGGCAGGGTTTCCTTTTCCGTCCAGCTTCAGTCGTGAGATTTGTGATACTCACCACGTTTTCGTCAACATTTTGTGTTTTTTTTTCTTTTTGAAAAATGTCTACTTAAGACTTACCCACTTAAAACCTGGCTTAATTATTTTTGTAATAGAGCATTTCAAGTTCCTTAGGGATTCTTGATATATCAGCTGAAGTTCGTAAAAAGAAAAATAAATTCCCTCATTGTGTAGGCTGTCTCTCCGCCCTGCTGATTGCTCCCCTCTGTGAAGCAGCATTTGAGTTTGGCAGATTTGTGTTTTGCGGCATCTACTTTCTACCCTTTAAGGGGTCTTGTCTAGAACCCCCTCTCGTGTTCCAGTGTTGGAGCATTTTTCACATTTCCTTCTAACAGTTTCATGTCTTTAGGTCTTACACGTACATCTTTAATCTGCTTTGAGTTGATTTTTGTGCCGTGTGTGTGTGTGTGTGTGTGTGTGGTGACATTCTTTTGTGTGTCTCTCTGCTAGTGCCCTTTATTAAGAAGCTTTGCTCTTCTGGACAGCGTGTTCTCAGCACTGTGGTTGAAGGCAGTGATTGCAGTCAGTTCCAAGTTTCCTCTCCTACTGTTTCTTTGTCCCCTCCTTTTTAGGGTTCTGGGAGCATTTCTGGATCATTCTGCTGCCACTTGAGACTCTAGGAATAAACATTTAAGCAAGCTCTATCACGAGCTAAAGTTCAAGGTTTGTCATGTTCAATCATGTTCAGTCTGGAATTTTTCAAATGTGCTGCACATTGTCAGAGACAGGAATTAAATATATTTCTTGAAATGCCATCAAAGAATTTGTATGTATCTTGAAATTCTCAGTTTACTTAGCATTCTTTTTTCTATTGCCCTGACAAAACATAGACCAAAAACAACTTTGGGTGGAAAGGGTTTATTTGACCTATTACTATTCTTATTTTGTTTTTTGTTTTTTTCCAAGACAGGGCTTTTCTGGGTAGCCTTGGCTGCCTTTGGATTTTCTTTATAGACCAAGCTAGATTCGAACTTAGAGATTCACCGGCCTCTGCATCCTGAGTGCTGGGCTAAAGGTGTGTGCCGCCTTTATTTGACTTATATTTCCAGATTACAATTCATCCTCAAGGGAACTCAAGGAAGAAAGCTGGAGGCAGGAGCCATGGGAAAAGACTACTCACTCTCTGGTTCGACTTCTGGCTTTATCCATCCCATGACTACAGTACAGGGCTAGTGTCACCCACAGTGACCTGGGCTATTCAATACCAGTTTGATTATCAAGACAATCCCAGACAGACAGGCTACAGACCAATCTGATGGAGGTAATTCCTTGGTAGAAAATTTCCTCTCAGGTGACTCTGGACTGTGTGAAGTTGACAGTTAAAACTAGCCGGGATACTTGGTCATATCTACCAAGAGGCAGCTGCTCAAACCTAATCCGGTCCTTATGAAGTTCAATAGATGTATTTTACAACGTAATGACTTAGCAATACATGGACCAGAAAAAAATGTTAGGTAAAGCATACGCTAGTTAGCTGACTTAGTCATCCCATATGTATACGTATTTTAAAACATCATGTTTTATACCATAGATACATGATTTTTATCAATTAAAAATTCAAATTATTATTGTGAGTGTGCATATGTGCACACACACGTGTATGTTCACCATGGAGCACATGTGGAGATCAGAGGACAACCCTGTGGGGTGGATTCTTCCCTTCTACCTTTCTGTGGATTCTGTGTAAACCTGAGGTTAAACTCAGGTTTAATCTGGTATAGCAAGACCTTTACCAGATGAATGACCATTAAGACCCAAAATATCTCTTTATAATATATATATATATATATATATAATCTTTATAATCTTTATATATATAAAGAGAGAGAGAGAGAGAGAGAGAGAGAGAGAGCGAGAACAGAGAGAATAAGGACTCAAAAGAATCACAGTGAAGGGGTTTCTAGGCATCTTGTGTTTGGGGTCACAGATGCACTGCTGAAGTGAGAGCCCACAGTGGTTTCTCAGCACAAGTCCAGCCTTTTTCAAAGCAGACACTGAATCATAACAGCGGCTCCCCAGGACTTTCTCGCGACTTCTCTCAGTTATACAAAGAAAAGACTTAGGTCTATGTTGTGGACTATTTGCTGAGTTATATAAAGATGTGTTACATTTGCTTATGCTGCATTTGTTTAATGATGTAAAGCTGTGTGGCCATTTCACCTTGCCTGCCTAAGGCGCCTGATTGGTCTATAAATAGCTGAATGGCCAATAGCTAGGCAGATGAGGGATAGGCAGGGCTGGTGGGCAGAGAGAATAGGTAGGATGAGGAATCTAGGATTAGGGGGAGGAGAGAGAGGGGAAGAAGAAGGGAGAAAGAGAGGGAGACACTCAGGGCTGGCCAGCCGCCAGCCGGCTAGACACGAAGTAGGACATAGAGAATAAAGAAAGGTAAAAAGCCCTGAGGTCAAACACAGATGAAACTGGTTAATTTAATTTATAAGAGCTAGTGCTAGTGGGACAAGCATAAGATAAGGCTGGACAATCAAAACTAATATTAAGTCTCTGTGTCATGATTTGGGAACTGGTTGGTGGCCCAAAAGCAAGCCTGGTACAGGTCTAAGAAGGTAATGATTTGCTGTGGATTGGGGCTGGAGAACATTCAGCAAGGACTAGATGAGGGGAAGGCCAGGTTGTGGGAGTACCTAGGTCATAAGATGGGACTCCATGTTTGCATAGGAGGTTGAGTGTGTGTGTTCATGGAGACTTATACATAGATGAATACTTCTATCTACCTTGGAAACTGCCAAATCTGATCGACAGATTGCAAGCTGTGTTGACAGTGAACGACATAAGTACATTCAGAACCCATTTTTGAACACTTTATCGATCACCTTGTGTGGTGTTGAAAATGCCCACCACACCCTGCAGCATGAAGGGACTAGCTGTTGCTTATCAGCTCATCATGGCTCCTCCTGGATCCCAGGTTTGCCTTGGCTTCTCTGCCATAGCCCAATAGCTGTGTGCCTTTCAGAATGCATCTGGCAGTGCTCCTACCAGTGGCACCAGGACTCAGACGGATTCTTAGCTCTTCAGACGTTCTTAAAGCCCTGGACATCTGCTCTTGTGGCTGAGTCTCAGCTGTCGGTTCTTGCAATGAAGACTTCCAGTCACCAGTTCGATTTATCTTTCCATTCTTGCCCAGTGCCATTGCTCCGTCTGCGTATACTCTCTCCCGCTCCTGCAGAGGAAATGTAAGAGCTACATACCAACAGCACCTGGCCTCCAGGTACGCTTCCTGCCACACTTCATGGTGCTCCGGAAGCATGGCTCCTCTTAGCCTGTGGCAGGAATTATTGTTTTTCCCAGGGGATCGGGTGCCCAAATGTCTCATTGGGCTTTTCCACCACTGCTGATGGGTTTAAATTTATGGCAGAGATTCATATGAAATGTGATTTTTGTCTTTTCTCCTTTTTTTCCCCATTTCAGGCAAGAGTACAGATGGGCTGTACTTTTAATTTTCTTGCTGCCACCTGGGAAGAATTTGTCATTTTGTTCCTAAAGGGGGGGAAGAAGAGACGCATATGACATAATCTAATACAAATCTGTGCCGAGCAATTCCCGGGACTCCCGGAGAGCCGTTCCGGCAGCTCGTGAGATTATCTGTCTGTGTGGGACCGTCACGAGAAGGCTGTGGTTTCCACGCAAGTGATTTCTCTCTCCATATTCATAAAGCTTCTAAAGGTGGAGAACGGGAATTGGGCTGGAAGCCTTGCTGGGTAAATAAAACAAAGCAGCCAGACCTTAAGGGAGCAGCGCTGAAGTGACTGGAGAATTGAAAGAGGGCAAGTGTTTGCGCACCTTTGCGTGTGAACAAAGCCCTGGGCAGAGCCAGCCGTCTGGGCAGAGCCAGAAGTCTAGCCGCCAGGACTACTGCAGGCCCCAGAGCTGCAGAACTCCTGTCTCTCCCGGGTGTCCTCTGTGGCCTCACCGCTTGACCTGCCTTTTCCCTTGCTGATCCCTCTTCAGGCCTCCACTGAGGAGGTACTTTCCTGTCCCTTTCCCAAGAACT